CCCAAATGGGAGATGGTCGGTGTTGGCATACAGACAAACTATGCACAGGGACGTAGAGGAAGGGCATTCAAGTACCTGAAACTTGGCACGAGGACGATACGGGGACGGCCGGGGTACGTACCGGGATGTGCCATGATGGCAGGGTATGGTCGAATGATACAGGGGACGTTTCGGTGCTTGTTGGGGATGTTTCGGGGACGGCATGACTAGAAACACTGAATTAGGGCAATCATATCCCATCTCATCGGCAGCACAAGAACAAAGTAAAATGATAACATGCAACACCCGATTCAAGTAAAAGGGGAGGCTTAGAACCATTTTCGGAGCTAGATTCGTAAAGGAATAGAGATAACTATCTTTAGAATAAAATCAAAAACAAAAACAAGAGAAGAACGAGCTTTACTCTCGATATTGAGCCCTGTTGTCTCGCCGGTCGTAGGATCCCAAAAGCACAAAGGTATTTTTTTCATTTTAGGATAGAGTAAAGATTTTGAGTCTTGTTTGAGACTAGGTGGTTTAGAGGTTGAAATATTGGCTTTTAGGAATAAATGGGTCATTGACCTTCATCGTTGCCGGTTTTATGGCGGCCGGAGTGGTGTCACCTTCTCTCGGTTGGGAGAACAAGAGGAAAGAGAGAGTGAAGAATGAAAAGGCTGGGTAAAAATTAGGGGGTTACGGTTTATTGGTGTTATAATGGGGTATATAAACATACCAAAACGACGCCGTATTGGACTCCTTAACCCGTGTTTTGAGTTTTCAGGGGAAAAACCGTTTTGGTCCTTTGTCTTTGTAACTTAATGTTTTTAGTCCATAAATGAAATGGATTATCTCTATATTGAGCCTTATAACTTTAATAAGCTTATATTTTAGTCATTCATCATTATTTATATATCATGGTTTAATTGTTGACTTTTTCAATTAATTGAAAGTATTTCATTTTAGTCCGCCGTTTATTATATGCTAAAAATGTTTTTTTTTCCCTTCAGTGATTATAATTACAGAAGAAGTAAAGAGGCAAATGTTTCCTTTAAGTCAGAGAAACGAATTTAAATTTATAATTTAAAGAATGCTCAAATGTTAGGATTTTACTGATTTGAGTCTTGATATTTGACTTTATTTATGATTTTTTATATATATTTATAATTTTAAAATTATTCTATATGCTGTCCCCGTACCCTATAATTTTAGAAATTGTCGTTTCCTATCTCGTCCCCGTATTAGTGCAACATAGCAATAAAGCAGGATATAATTCTTTCTTTTGATTACACTTTAGTTACTGCTATTGATTTGGTAATCAAAATCGTTTTGCCACTATAGCCATTACCAACTTTGTGGATTCCCTATAATCCACCACTTGCCTTCTTTTTTCTGTGGAATTTTCTTTTCTTGTTAATTGCTGTTTTAATTTCCCTTTCAAATCAAGGCTAAGCACCGAACATTTTCCATTCCTTTTTAAACATAACGCTATAGAGAAAGAACTCTCTTCCCTGTCTCTCCCATTTTCTTTTGGGGTGCAAAGTCCATTGACAGAACAAAAGAAAGTTTCTTCCTTTTCTTTGGGTGTGATGTCGTTCTAAAGAGTTGGAGAGATAAGAGAAGGAAATAAAAAGGAGAAAGAATGGCATATTGTTGATGGACATGGTTTAAATAATTTGGTATGAAGATGGATATAGAAACTCAAGAATGGCATACTGTTGATTATATTGTGGTCCTTACCAAGTATAGAATTTATGTTCTGTATAACTCGGCTACGAGTCATAGGATTGCTGGTACCGATGTTATGTCTGTAAAATATCAAGAGACTATAGAGTACATCCTTGTCAACTGTGAAGTGAAGCCTTTTTTCTGTGGGTGTCTGGTACGTCTTTCAACATCAAATTGATATTATATTAAGGTCTTGGATGCAGCAGTTTCTTTGGTTTTTTGTGTGACTGATACTACTCTCTAGATGTTAGATGTTTACGATTGTTTCCTAAATCAACAGATACATCTTTACTGTTATGCTGGTCTAATTCAGTTCTTTCGTCAACTTCCTCCTCCATAGCAATCTAAATACCTTGTACTAAATTATTTTTTTGATTTGCTGGTAGTAAAGAGGAAACATTTTTTGATTCCCGAGCATATCTAGATCCGGATTGCGAGGACGATTTCATCAGTGTCAATGGGGGTGAGTATATAAGAACTTTTTGAATTGATTTGTCTAACAAGCTTATCCAATAACCATAAATGTTAACTCTCAGGATGTAAATTTGGTTGTCTATGATAATTTGTGATCATTTGCTTTGGTTGTTTTTGTGTGTAAAGCATCTATATAGCCATGCTAACTTTATTGCCATTTTTCTTTTGTTTTTTGTTTTGCCAATCATTTCTATTTGAGTATTAAAGCTCTTGTCTGATAATTATCCGATCGAAATTGTATGCTTCTGTGCAGATTTTACTCCTTCTCATGGTAATACCACTATTCATCAGAGCTTCTCTATGGAGACATCTCGAGTTAATGGTATCACCGAGAATGGATATCCAGGGTCAGTTTCCGAATCACCCCCAACAGGAAAGAAAAAGAAGTTGATTGAACTTTTCCGAGAGAGCTTTAGAGATGACCATGATATTAGTGAGCTAAATACCTCAAGCAACCAGGGGATTGCCAATGAAAAGACAGTCAAACCAACAACAATCCAAGACATACTACCTCAGAAATCCGCAGACGGTACCCCTTATGTATCTGCAGCTAACTCTCAGTGCAGTAGTGAAAGGACTTCAAACGGAGATAATCCTATCCTCAAAGAGAAGCCAATTAGGTCTGTGCAACGTTGCCTTCCAAGCTTGGTTTCATGCGGTAGTTTTAGTGAGAGGAAAAAGATGGCCATGTCATAGCTGTTAACGATAAACCTTAATTTCCTGCTTTCCGGTTAGTAGATTGAAGAAGCCCGAATCTCGGTTCCCGGAGATCATTTGCTCGAGACGACCTCAACTTTTTTGTCAGCTTTAACAAAGAGTAGGGGTCACGGTTACACACATATGGGACTTTTGGATTCAAGGCAATGAAAAGCAGCCCAGTCCGATCAGGATTGTACCATCTCAGTCAACTTGATGATGTTAATTTCCTTTCAACATGAAGTTTATACATACAGGTCTTCTGTAACAAAAATGCAAAAGAATCAAACAAAACTTTTGTAAATGACCCTTGTAATATTATATATATTTTAAAACAACTGGAAATGCTCATTGTTTTAATTTCTACTGTAAGTAAATAGCATGGATCTTGCATATAGTTTTTGGAACTCTTTCAATTTCTACTGTAAGTAAATGGTAAGATTAAAGTTTGGAAACCAACAAACAGCTTTAACTCGGAAGAAGAAAATATCTATATCACTCATTGCTCTGTTCTTAACAAATGGAAATGTCTTCATTCATGGACTCTGAATTTTATAAAAAAGAATTGGTGCAACTTAACAAGCTTTTACATGGCTGTTGAATCTGTTCTATTCGATCTAACAATACGTGCGGGAGAAACCCTGCAAAACTGACTGAAACAGTGGAGAGTGAAACTTAAAAAGATGAACCAGAAGATGTGTAGTTCAAACCTTAGAATTTTGTTTGCTGTTAAGAAAGCTTGGGTCTTGCTAGATGAGGAAAGGCGGCCAAAATGTTGTATGCCCTTAAGTCCTGCCTGGTCAAGATCCCAACAACAGGAGACACCTGCAGGTGGATCAAATTATCAGGAAACAACGTTGTAAGGTGTATACAATGGTAGGATATAGGCATGAAGAAGAAGATAAGTGTTTATGGTTGGTAAACTCACCCCTGCCCCTTGATACTTCGGCACAATGAGTAGATGTCGGAGTCCAACTTGCCTGAATAGAACCATGGCTTTAGCCACTGACATGCTTTCCACCACGGTGTAAGGGTTGTATTGGTGAGAGGATGTAAATCAATATACATTTCCATTTCCTTGCGGGTCACTGCCACCTGCTCATCTTGAGTTCTCTTTCAGCAAGCTCCACCCAGTTGAATTTCTCCCTTACTTCCCATTCCTCAGTTCTTCTCTTCTCTTCTCTGGCAGGAACCATTTCTTCTTCAGGGCTTGAACAAGGTGAGCTCTGAGGATCAGTCCATGCAGTTCGGTTGCACCAGTGGCTATGGTGCCCGGCGCCATCACGCCCTGGTCTACAATGGGAAATGCATGGTGTGTAGTGTTTTTCAATACGTCCACGATCCGTGAAACCTTTCCACCCACAAAGAGTGACTACTGGTGGCTTGACATCAGCAAGCTCACCAACTGTGAGATTTCTCATCCAGGGTTCAGGATTTGCATCCAGGAAAGGAAGGCCTTTAAGTTCCAATATAATCTCATAGATACTAGGTTGAAGCAGTCTCCAACAGTTTTTGCAATCAAAAGAACCATCATTGTTATTGGCAGCAGCAGAAGGTTGTTTGTGAGTTCAAGAAATATGACACAAAGTGACACAGTCATCCTCATTGAGCCGGCCATAAGAGAGGCAGCACCAAGAACAGTATAAAGCCCCTGGTCTAAGTTTGTATATGATTGCATGGCGATTCCGAGAAGCCGACCATAACCCGAGCCCATGAGGATGATAGGGAGGAAGAGTCCAGAAGGAACAGCAATGCCAAAAGTAATGAGTCCTAAGATGCAATAAAGCGCAAAAAAGATTAAAATGGAGGAAACATGGAATTCGGATGAAGTGTTGGTTGAGAAAATGTTTCGAACAGAATCATCATTAGTTGTAAGGAGGAGGGTAGCTAGATCATTATAGTATCCGTCAGGACAGTTAAACTGTTTGAAGTTCCCCGACCGATCATTTGTAGGACAAGTCTCCCGAAAAGATGGATCGCAAGCTCTGCACTGTGCTAGAAACGGAAGACAAAATTGGCACACTGAGGTGAAAATAGAGACTGCAAGAGCTAGAAGTAGTTTATGCATTTTCCCCTTACTGTAACAGATTAAAAACATTGGTTATTAATCAAGCAATTGAACCAAACTAATATTGCTCATTGACTAGTTTATCGAAACTTTACAATACGTTGAAAATAATTCAATGTAGCTGCATAATTGAAGAGAAAGATGGATTAAGTAGCTTACTGGTTAATGAGATTGTAGAGTCTTAGGACCTTATGGAGAACATGATTATAAAGGCTTCCCAAAAGTCCACCAATGATTCCAATTATGATAACTGGGATTACATCCATGGCTTGGTAGCTGACTTTAACGTTGCTAACATCGAACATGATCAACCCTCCTGATCCAAAAAGGCCACATTTCCCGGAATTGCAGATTTCAATGAATGCCCTTAGAACCACCACCACAACTGCTGTACTAAAGAAAGTTCTCCAGAGAAGGGCACTCCTCCACCATGTAGCAACTTCTTCGAGAGCGAATAGGACACCTCCCACTGGGGCACGGAAAGCTGCACAAACACCAGAGGATGAACCACAGGTGATAATATCTGCCATCCCGATCATTGTTGAAGTAGCGAAGCCAACGCCACTTGATACGTAGTTATCAGGCCCTCCTTGTGCAAGTAGTGAAGCAATGCAACTCCCAATATGCACTAAAGGCCCTTCTTTTCCCAGATCTAGACCGGCAGAAACTGCTCCAATGCTGCCAACAATCTACAATTAACAAATTTATCAGCGCACTAGCTAAGATACAAAATAAAGTGAAAACTATCTCATGCTAGATCTAAATATAGATAATTAATAAAATCCATTGGCAACCCTACAACTGATCAAACTCTTGAAATACCAGATCTGATCAATCTCTGCTTATCTATATTTTGTTGAAGTTTAAAAACAGAAGCCAGATATGAGATCAGACGTTCATTTTCTACCTATATGAATTTGAACCATTAATGGAGCTTTCAGCAGTGATTTCTAACATAAAGCTAACCAACCTTGACAAGCAATGTTGTGGCACCAAACATGTTAGGAGTATCAACTCCATTGAGATAAGCCTTGATTTCAGGAATACCAGGACCGGCTGCAGTTGGGCAAAACACACACAGAGAACTGCAGCAACCAAGGAGAGAAAAAAATTGATCCCGGTAAAAAAGATCAACCCTGATATATACCTGCAACAAATTCAGATCATATTAGATAAAATCTAAAGGTTAGTCTTTGGACATGAAAGCATTAATACAATGATCAGAACTCAAGCAGTGTATAAGAAAAGATGAAAGGATTCCATAGTCCTTACCTTCCCTCCTCAATGAAACCAGCAATAGCAAGAAGCTTGTAGCCAGCAATGTTCTCGATTGCAAGATTGATAAGTGTAGCAATTAATCCTGTTAACAATCCAACAAGGAAAGCAAGTGACCATTTCAAGAAAACGTACTGCAAAACTTGAACCTTGGACCTGCTTCTCCAATCATGCTTGAAAATATCATTTTCATTTATCCTGCACCAGATTATTCCAATACATGTTATCAGAAACAATGAGCAAATATGAAGGGAAAAACATAATAGAAGCGACCAAGGAGAAGGAATCATAAGTAGAATTATTACTCGTAATCCAAACTCTCTATATGAGAGACCTTGGCTCCAACCAAGGCTAGTGGAGTGGAAGAAAGGGTTCTGTTTCTTTTGAGAAGTGGCTGACGTAAAGAATTGCTTTCAGGGTCTCTTTCTTCTTCTTCTTCTTCTTCTTCTTCTTCTTCTTCTTCTTCTTCTTCTTCTTTACGAGCTTCAGCCTCCGAGTTTCGGGGAGTTTCTGGTTTTCCCAAATTGTTTGAATCAGACTCCATCAATCAAAGAGAGCAGAAACAAAAGAACTAATGGAGAAGAGGGTTGGCTTTTGGATGGCAATGGATTGACTTTGAGATTGAACAACAAAAGCCTTTCAAATCTATTGGAACTTTATATCCTGCACTTAAGCTAATTTGTCTCGCTTTAAACTCGTCTTCCTTCAAATTTACATCAAGTTTCACAATAAAATAAACATAGCCAGAATTGCATAAAGTTTAATTATGACTTTAGAGGGGGTTTTTTCTGTCATTGACATACGGTGGGCGTTTCAATTAGTCGTCGAGTTAAAAAAAAAAATTACTCGAGTGGTTGTGTTTTATTTTATAGTTCAAATTTGATTTAAGATTTTTTTCGAGTAGAATTAAATTAAGTTATTCGAATTTCAGTTTAAATTTAATTGTAAATATTTTTAATATGATGATACTATTTGATCTTAATTTAAATGATTTTTTATAATCATATACAATACATATATTTTTTAATGTGATGTATATATATCATATAGAATCGAGAGACTATACTCGATCTTGAAAATTAATCCACTAATAACTAAATTTTCAAGTTATTCGAGTTTTATTTTATAACTAGGCTCGAATTTATTTTTTTTTAAATCGAGTTTATGAAATTATAACTCAAAATCAATTCGAGTCGAGTCAAATTTTGTTCACCCCTACACACTATTAGAGGTGACAACAATAAAAAGACTAAAAAATATCAAATTCAAGAACCAATATGGACTAAAATAATTATAGGTTAAATTAAAAAAGTAGCAAAGTTAGGGACTAAAAATAAATTTAACCCAAAAACCATATCACGGAAATCACTCCGTATGATTTTTTTGTGTTTACAATCGATTAAAATTGGCCCACTTTTAACCAAATGGGACAATATTACTTCACATTTGGACCCACCAATAATAAAGCCTCACTCATATCATCACATGTAAAAGTTCTTAAAAATACAATACAAAATATAAAGTTGAATAAAGAGTAAATATATATTTTAATGTTTAAATATAATTTTAAGATGTAGGGTAAAGTACATAAATGATTCTAACTATAAGATATTACTTTGTTGAGTCTTTCGATTATTAAAAGTTATAAAATGATCGTTAACTATAGAGAGTTGTTTTCTTGAACTCGACTATTAAAAGTTACGAAATTATCACCCAAGTATTCGTTATGCTCCAAACTCGTCATTTTTCGTTAAAATTTAACGGTCGTCTGAGTTGGACGTTAACATATTAACTGTGATATGATAGTTGTTTGAGATAATGAGATCAAATTATATCTCAGCCATCATATTAACATTCAGCTCAGACTACCGTTAATTTTTTAACGAAAAATGAAGAGTTTGGAAATAATGAATATTCGGGTGATCATTTTATAACTTTTAATAGTCGAGAGACTC